TGATTAATAGTTATTATAAAATGCTATACTTTCATCTATTAAACACCGTTTAATGTGTTTTGATATGTCATCTAGGTTTTAAGTAATAAGCATTTGAACTCAGTCGTAACATAATAAACACACGGTAGTAGCGTGTATTTCGGGGTTTGTATTATTATTATTAGTTTTCGATATATCGAAACTAGGCATTATATTATTACACTCATTTAGTTGTGCATGCTCAACTGTTCTAGATGAGCATGGTTGTTGATCAATGTTATCTGGTTTATCTATTTATAAAAATATATTTAAACAATAATATTCTGTACTAGTTAATGATATAATTAATAGCTACCATGCACATCTAATTTGGGCATTTTATTAGCTCTTTTATATCGGCCACCAGGCTGATTATCAAAATCTGATCGAGGCCTAATAATTAAATAAAATTAATTATTTGTATAATCTTAACATGCTAATTTAATTACATGACACACTTTGTGAAATGATTATAAAAGTTTTTCCACCATCCCATTGTTTCGTATGGAATGTCAAAATTTATATATTCCTAGTAAGTGAATAAATTTATTAAATTAGTAAGCCAGTATAATTTTAAAAAGTACATACGTCAATTAAATGTGGATTATGTAGGGGCGTATCATTTGTTGAAACTAAAAGTTTTTAAAAAGTAAAATAATTTTGTATATAAAATAATATAAATAAATTTGTGAGCAAGAGGTTTTTAAAATAAACATACCTGTATGTAAATTAGATTCAGATATACTAAGATTATTCATAGACTTAATAACCACGCACAAATCATAAACATATTGCAATTCATTGAAATTGTAGCACCTAACATTTGGCATAAAATTACTTTGATATTTATTATATTTAGAAAATAACACAAAATGATATAGCTTAATTTGACTTAAACTTCTAATAATTGATATCAAACGTTCATCATATGTAATTATGGCTAATGTAGTTTTACCATCACATAACGCATGTGATACCAGGCTAATAAACTGTTTTACTTTTGATTGATTAAAAACTAAGCTTGATAGTGGAGAGTAGTGATGATGGTCAATTTCTAAAACACTGTCCCGTTCCCAACACACAAAATGCTTTTCAAGTAAGTTGTATGGAGTTATTAATAAGTCCCTGACAACTTTTTTAAAAAGGTTTTTATGATTTAGTGGAAATGTTTCCAAATCCCAGTAAATGGATATGAAACTTGTCATTTGCTGTCATCTATGAAATTTTTAAAAATGAATTAAAATAATATATTTAATAAAAATAAAGACATGAATAATATTTCTATAGTTATAAATTATAACTTATAATCATAAAATTAAATTGAGTTTTATATTTTTGATATTTTTTATTTATAAACAATTAATCATTACCAATAAAATATAATGCAATTATTTTCATTGATCTATGGTATACAGTAGATAGCTATTATAAAATGTAACATATTTTAGAGATTGTGTTTTAAATAGCCAGATCAATTGCGAGCATAATCTTTAGTCCACTGTTTAGCTTGCTTATTATAATCTCTTTCGGATAAGTCATCACCGACATAGGCACTGTCACGGTTAGGTTGGGCTAACATATTGTTGAGCGCCAGTAGCACCGTTAGCACGTTATCGGTGGGACGCCAATCGGAAAATAGTGACAAGCATATTTTGCCATCATTTTGTATATTAGCGTGAAAAATCTTGGTTTTAAATACAACTTCGGGAGGTTTCATGGGATAAACACCTGGGAACTTTAGCTTCAACTTAAATACGCCTCCCTCGTACGGACTATCCTCAGGACCATTCAAGTAGGCTTTCCATACAAGTAGGTTGTCTGTGGGCTCTACCGATCCTATAATACACGGGTTTGATATGAAGGACCTGTACTCTCTCATTAGCCTCTCGGCGGCCATTATTGCAAAAACTTAATATTTATTAGACTGGTGAATTTATTATTAACCTGCGAATTTAAAATTATTAAGTTTGAGCTAGTAATTTTAAAAGACAAAATAATTGCATTATACTGTAAGTAATTTCTAATTTTTTATGTTTCATTCAAAGATATAAGATTTAAATAAAAATATATTTATTATATTTCAAAATATTTACTTACCGTATGATGAAAAAGTTAATAAATTTAATTAGGATATTTCATTCGGTCACCACGATAATATAATTAATTTTGTATTAAACAAAACTTTATTTTATTTCATATACGTCAAAAGTGTGAATAGCTATGTCAGTATTACTGATTTAGTAATATCAATGTAAACAATTTTACAAAAGTCGTATTAAATTATTATTTCCCTGAATCATCGGCCATAGTCCAAACAAATCATTTTATAATTGTTTATATGAAATTTATCCGGTATCAATTTTCCATGTTTTATATCAAATGCACATTCTGTAATTTGAATGCTATTTGAATGTATAATATTAGATACTGGTGCGATTACATATTTTCACACAGGATTAATGTAATATTATAAATATATTTCAGGAAATAAGTCTCGTAGCACTGGTAAAAAAATTTTAATATAAATATTTTAATGTAAACACATACTGAAATTCATGATAATAAATTGAGTCATCAATGTCATGAAAGCAAGTGTTTAATTACTACTTGCTTTTAAAAAAGCAAAACAATTTATTTTATTTATAAATATGTGTTGAAATATAATTGGTTAATATTACAATTATATTATTGTTTGTATTACATACAGTAAATTATATTAAAATTAGTCATTAGTCTTATGAAACATAATTAGTATTCGTAAAAACACAATCTTAAAAATACAACTATTACAAAAATTGAAAGTAGCCTGAGGTATTTATAATTTTAAAATTAATAAAAATAAATTAAATTAATTAACATTAATAATTTAGTTTATATAAACAAATTATAGAATTATTTAATATTTAATTTTTAAACTCTGTTTTAATATTATTAATTATATTATTATGTAAACATTTTATAATGCTAAGTTTGAATGATTTAAAAATTATAATTAACATGTTAAATTTTCTCACAGTTTTTCACTTAACTATAGTATAAACAACAAAACTGACCACCATGACCGACTACTCATCCCAACACCGGGACTTCTACTCCAAGCTATACTGCAAAGACATGTTTGTGGACCAGAGCACAGCCGATGAGTATACCTGTCCCATATGCATATGCGTGCTCAAGGAGCCCCAACAGCTAGCCATAGACAACTGCGAGCACCTGTACTGCAAACAGTGCATCACCAACTATTTTAACACCCGCCCGGTGCCAAACAAATGCCCTACGTGTCAATGCCCGGCTACCGCGGCCAACGTTAGGCCCGCCCACCGAACCATAGTTAACCTCATAGATAAACTCGAGTGCCGGTGCTATTACTACGGGGAGGGCTGTACGGCTACCATGCGGGTCGAGCAACTGGAGTCGCACAGCGCCACTTGTCGGCACCGACCGTGTGGACCCACCAGTGCCACCCCTACAGCCGGTGGTATACCGATGTCGGGCACTCCTATTACGGTGTTCGTGAAACTGGCTGGGGCACGGACTGTGAACATCAGCACCGGTATCAACGATACGGTTAAAACGTTTAAGGGTAGGTTACGGGAGAAAGAGGCGGTAGAGGTGGACCGACTGGTGCTTATATTTGGGTCGAAACCCATGGATAATAGCAAACGGCTGTCCGATTACGGCATACGGAACAGTAGTATTGTGTTCACCACGCGACGATTTGATGGTGGGGTTTATGTCGGTTAAAATGACCTCGATAACTATTTTAGTTAATATAAAATTATTTGTTCAATATCTATTTGTAATTTTGTATTGTTTTGTATTTTTTGGAATATTTTAAATTTATATTAAGAGTAAAACAATTAAATAAAATATAATTTACAATTTAATAAAGGGTAATTGTCAATTTATTTTATAATTATATTAAAAAATATATTAAATTATTATAATTTAAGGTAACCTAGTTTAATCTGTAAGTTTCATGCTAATTTTTCATAAAATTAGATTTACATTTTTAAGTAATGTTGCTACTGGTAACTCAAACTTGCTAATCGTCATTGTTAAAATAATAACAAAATATTTAATCGTATTTAATTGAAACTGTTATTTAATTTTAGTTTTTACATGATTTAAATGTTGTAACTCTCAACCATCATAATATTATTATACAAGTGTTTCATAACAATTTTATGTATATAGTATAGCAAATTCATATACAGGTATTTAATTATATCTTAAAATAAACTATAAAATTTGTACAATGTTGTATTTTAATTAACAAATATTTTTTTGAATTATTTTTCATTCAACCCGAGTATACGACACGACTGTTCCCTCATCACAAAATTTTTCACTTTACCCGCCGGTGTTAACGGGAACTTATCCACGAATAGCACGTACCGGGGCACTTTAAAGTAGGTTATCTAAAACAACATAATCACAAATTGCATTAAATAAATAAAAATATAATACAAATAAGACCGTTGTCAAACATGCCAATTTTATGATACAAAGAATTAACATTAATTAAAATAAATAATTTCATATAATTTACAGTTTACTCGACACGAAGCAATAATAATAAGTAATTTACCCGTTGTTTGCAGAACTCCCGGATCTCGGCTTCCGTAGGCTTTTTGATGGGATCCTTGGGTTGAATCCAAGCGCACACCTCTTCACCCGTCCTATGGTCAGGTACTCCACACACCTAATGGTCATCAATGGGGCGCTCAATAAGTATGTAACAATGTCTCAGATTATACTGACGTATGCGTCGAGTATATCCGGGTGTTTGTGCAGCAATTCCTCCACTTCTCGGGGACTCCACTCCACAATGTTTTCGCCGCCCCTTATAATCATCTCTTTAATGCGACCAACGATTTTGATGTAACCATGCTCATTCATTGTAGCCAGGTCCCTAAAATGAGATAACTTTAAATAATTAAAGTAATGTAACATTATTATAACATTATCAGATAGAGGTAATTAGGATTATTTGTAATAATTTAATAATATATAATTTATTTATTTACAGTTACTATCCTTATATCATACCATATAGGTTATATGCAAAATAAAAATAAACTATTATAAATTAAATAACCATGTCAAAACATTGGTCTGTTTTAACCACGTCCCTGTTTGGTCCAAAATATTTACTAAAAACTTTTTAATAATAATTAAAATATAATTATTTAATTAAATTACAGTTTCCTTTATACACAAGAGATAATTTTAATAATAAACTGACCCAGATTTATACCAATTACTACTGTCAATGGCAGCCCTGGTATTTTTCTCATCCCTCCAATAGCCAATCATTTGGTTATGTCCCCTGGATAGGAGTTCCCCTGGTCAATTTTATTACAAAAGATTTTACAAAAATAATTTTAATTTATTTATTAAATATACCTGTTTCACCAATTTTAACGATAGCACCGGTATTTGTGTCAACAATTTTAGTCTCGATGTGATCAAAGGGTCGGCCAATTTTTATGAACATGTACTTGTTAATTTTTAAATTTTAATAATATTTAATTATAATTCATTACCGACGGTTTCCATACGATTTTCAACACTATCTGATTGGTATGATATTGTGCCAAATGAACCTGGTAGTTGATTGAATAATATAAATATTAATCCTAATATAAATTACTAGACATGGTAGTTATATCTAAATTATTAGCAGTATACAGATTTTATATAATATAATTTGTATAGTAATTTCTATGTTTAAATGTAAAATAAATATTTAAGTAGGTAACATTATAATAAAGTATAAAAATTACCTTGCTGTACAACCCATTGTATTTATGTTTAATTAGTTTTTAATAAATTAATATACATTTATTATTCATTACAGGTTTAGGTAAATTCATAATATTCTATTAATAACCAATTTAAAAATAAATATATTGAACAATATTTAAACTAAAACATAACATACCGGCCTCAGTAGCTCCATAAGCGACTCGGACATCGGTACAGGTAGGTATAATTTTTTGAATCCTATGTGCCACATTAATAGGCATGGATGACCCACCCGTGTTAAAACCTTTTAAGGAATCCAGTTTAATTTTATTAGTTTCCAAATAATTCAATATATCAATAATCATGGTAGGCGTGCCGAATAGGTAGGTGCACTGGTGCTTGTTGATTGTGTTCACAATCAGTTTCACATTATAAAAGAAGTTTGGGATCACTATACAGGGTAAAATGGTAATGATATTATAATAAGTTGGAGTTTCCATGGTACAATAAATTAACATACCGTTTTTAAACGGGACACCACACATACCGATATTACCCAGCATACCGCCAAACCTGTGGAAAAAGGGTAAGGGGTTGCAAATTGTTTTGTCACCCAGGTCCACATCGTAGGCTTTGCCACATAATATCGCATTATTAGCAACATGATTAAATGTTATAACAAGGTTAGTTAAAATAAATAATATTAATAATTTAACGGACTTTACAAACCGGCAGTAAAATGTGACAGGTAAGCACCTTTAGGTTTGCCTGTAGTTCCCTGTAATTTACAGTTTGTATTAAATTTTAAAAGTTTTATTAATAGAAAATCTGTGACAGTAACCGAGGTAAACATAATAATACCAGGATCCTCTGGTCTCACGCGATCTACTAATGTTTGGTCCAAAACCCCGTCATTTGACGCGAAATCCTTAAACAAATGAACAGATATTTTGTGTCTTACAGAGTGGTCCACAGGAAACGCATTGCCGTCCATAACAATAACGTCTCGTAATAGCAATTCATCGCTATTTTGCGACTAAATTTAAAAATGTTTAATTTATACGGTGAACATATTTGAGCCCGATTTTATAAAACAATTTATGAATTGTCATATTGGGTTCAATTTAAACATTTATTTACAGTCTGAGAGTCTTTAATCAATACATCGGTTAAAACTGTTTGAAACCTATTGACCACATTGTGCTTGCTGTCTGCCCCCGGCATAAACAGTGCCTTAATCTGTTAACGCAATAAATAATCCAGCTCGTCCACCTGATAACCTGGATTGATTGTGTTTAAAATTAGACCCAATCTAAAACAAGCATATTGTATTTGAATCTAGATAAATATTAAAATTAATATTCCTATTTCAGTGCCCCTCTACCCCCGCCCCCATCATTCTTCTCGATCCCTTCCCATCCCATCCCTCTCTTCCCCGTTCTTCTCATTCAATTCTTCCCCTCTTTCCCTAAAATCTATAATTTGTTAAATTATAATAGTTGTTAAAATTTATAAATGTGTGTTTTATAACATGTCTTTTAAACCTTGTTTGTAATACTTTTCCCTTTTGAACATTATAATAAAATTTAAATTATTTTAAATTATTTTAAATTATTTTAAATTATTTTAAATTATTTTAAATTATTTTAAATTAAATTAACATGAAACATACCTGAAGAAAGTATAATAATAGAACAGATAATACTAACTATAATATCATGGTTATACACATAGATGTCCAAAATTTTAAAAATCCCCAAAATAGTGTTTTATAATAATATTAAAATTTTGAACTATTTAAAACACTAGCATTTTATGATTTAAATGTGATCAAGATTTGTATTGAAAACATTTTTATTTATTAAACAGCAAAATAATATTTAAATTATTAAAATACTAACTCATAAGAGATTATTAAACATACAATAAAAATATTTGATAAAATAATAGTCATATATGAAAAACTGAGTAATATTCATGGGTATTTAACTAAATGCTACTTTAGTTTTTAATGTATTCTATAAACGTTAGAATACTAGTGTTGTGTATACTCTCCTGAAATGTCAAATTCATACATCACTAGTTGGTTTCTGGAAACCATATCTGTGCGTATAAGGTTATACAGCTTATATGAGGTAAAGAAAGCAAGTTATATGATAACCTAATGCTGAACAAATATCTCAGTTTATCTTGTTCATATAATTAATATAATTTTTTTGAGTTATGAAATTAAAATCTGTTAACTAGAAATTGTAGCAATTATCTTAGCAATATATAATTTATTTGCGAAGTACGTTGTATGCAATTATAAAATATAGCAAGGTGTTAAGTAGCAATTGTTCCTGTCTAAAGGATTGGACAGAGAAAGTGGGAGATAAAAGCAAAGGGACAGTAAACACAGTTAAATGGACAAGGTCAGAGAAAGGGACAAAATATGGCAGAGAATATAAACTAATTAACCCTGGATCAAATATATAAGGGTATCCACTGGAGAGCCCTCTGAAATATGCGGTGATGGACGATTATGATCAAGCTTATCCCGAATCAGTCGAATATATTAAATTGTGGGGGTAAACAGTGGGGGTAAACAGTGGGGGTAAACAGTGGGGGTAAACAGTGGGGGTAAAATTGTATTAAATGACTAGTGTGCTATATTATAATATATTAAATTGAAATATTTATTTGATTAAAATGATGAAAAATATAAATTGTCCTAAACCCAATTTTCTTGCAATGATAACTTATATAACTTATATAATAAAAATATTTGTAAAACTCTATTGAAAATGCAAAACTTAGGACAAGTATATTTTAAGCAAGTCTTAATTAGCATTTAATAATATAATAATTTTAATTAAATTTTATTAAACAGTATTTGATAATATTTAAAGATTCAAAAATATGCTATTAATTAAGTATAGATTCTTTACATTAACATAACTTTAGGAACATGTGCAATTATTTAAAATAGCATGATTATATTTTATTACTAAAACTTAAGCATTAATGCATTCATTTAATTAGTTAATTGAAGTTTCAAAATAAAAAAACTTATGTAGTTACACTTTTATTTCAAAATGATCATTAAACTAACTAGCTAAATATTCAAATATTTTAATCCATTCGCATTATTGTTACAGTAAGTTGTATTTATAGATTTTATAAACATTATGATTATTTTTATTAATAAAATTAATTTATTAGAAAATGTTGAGGTCAATATAAATTTAGATTTTTAAAGTTTTAATCCAATATTTCGTCCTTGACAAGATTTCTATAATATTTTCGGTCCACTTTCCCAATACTAGTCCTATTGATGTTATCTACAAATACGACACCACCGGTCAGTCGCTTAGTATACGCCAGAGTGTCTGTCCATTAGAGATACAGTATTAGCAATCAATAAATATAACATGCTAAATTAAAAATTTTAATTACCAGACACAAATTTCTTCAACTCCTCGGCACTTACTGTATGCCCCTCTTTGACTTTAACATAAGCCCGGGGTCTATGAGTGCCGGCCCTGTTGTTGACGCCAACCACCCCCACCTCAGAGACGGCCGGGTGGGTCAGTACATACTGCTCGATCTCCACGGGACTGATATTTATGTAGTGATTGTCGACACCTATTCGCACGACTTCTTTGAGGCGATCCGTTATAAACAGCCGTTCCTTCTCGTCGTAGTGACCGATATCGCCCGTCCGATACCAGCCCTCCCCGTCCACCGCCGCCTCCCAGGCCTTCGGGTTATTGAGGTAACCGGCGATCAGATTGACTCCGCGAACGCATATCTCTCCGTCGGTATTAGGGCCCAGACTTTCACCGGTAGTCAAGTCGATGACCTTAGCTTCGGTGCCCGGGAGTACTTGCCCGCAGTTACCCGGGATATACTCGCCCACTCCCATTCTCCCACTCACGGGAATGTACTCGGTCATACCATAGCCTGAAAATAATTTTAATAATTTGAAATTTATAATACACTGTAACAAAGTTACAAATTAGGTTGCTACTTAATATTATGTTATTTATTTTAATTTTTTTTTTGCTGAATACTTCAAATATTTGTTTTAATTATTAAATATGAATTAATTCTGTATTTATTCTATTAATTTTAGTACTGTAGCTTAATTATCATCTAAAACATTTACATAGTTAGTTAGTTTTTGCATTGAAAATAATTTTTGCATAATATATTATAATACATTACTTATTTACAAAAGTCGAATTAATATTTTAAATTTAAACTAGTCAATTTTAACTAAACTTATCTGTTAGTTAAATATAGTAAAAACATATTTTATATCGTATACATAGTTTGAGATTAATTAATTAATTTATTTATTTATTTATTATTACATACTGTATATTATTAGCTGTAAACTGTAATCTTGTAAAAATCAATTATTCTATCAATTTAGTCTATTTTTATATTTTTATTTGGTCTAGGTTTTGGTCCCATATATTATAAAATAATTAACTTTATAGATTTTACATACATTTTAATTATCATGGTAAAATTAAAACTTTAACTAACCTTCCATGAACATCAACTTATATTTATCAATAAACACCTGGGCACAGTTAGGCGGAAATGCTGCCCCAACACTCATAATCGCTTTCAAACTGGACAGGTCGTATTTATCCAATAGACCCTGATCAACCAACTGTTTGGCAGTATATGGAAAAATGCCCAGGGTCTGAATGCCATACTTTTCAATTGACTTAGCAATGTGTTCAGCATTTGAATCGTCAAATAATATAGTTTTACTGCCACTTGATATTGAAATGGACACGTGAAATGACCCGGACATGTGTCCCATAGGAAATATCAATGCCGAGGTCAGCCCCTTTGTCATACCTGTCCGATCACTACTATTCAATACAATACGATGTGGGACCATGGCACATTTAGGGGCACCGGTAGTGCCAGACGTGTGTATGAGAAATAACATGTCTTTCTCGGGATTCACATCAAAGTGCGGTATTTGAGCCAATTTCCGACCCTTTCCCTCATCCCGGAGCTCCTCATAAGTCACGTGCTTATCGTGTTTGCCGTCGAAAAGGACCACAAGTTTCACCGGATTTTTGTTGTTATTTCGCGAGTCATCCAAAACCCACTCAAACTTATGAAAGTCTTGAGCGGATGTCATGACTACGTCAGCGCCGGCAGCCCTCACCTCCTGTTCCACTTCGTACTTCTCAAACGTGGGACTTAAGGGCATGAATGTCACGCC